AGTCCCGCGTGCGATTCCGGCAGGAAATAGCCCCTACCAAGGCGGTCGGGACCAGGACTGTGTCAAAGTGACGTTGCTCTTACTTTTTGCGGTCACCCTTGTTGGTGTCGTCGGTGCTCTCGTCCAGGACGGTGGTGGTAGAGTGGCCTTCGACCATGACCAGTGCCGACACGAGAGTGTCGCCCGACGCGGCGCCCGAGTCGGAGCCGCAGCGCCGAATGCGCAGGAAGCGCTTCTTGCTGAGCAGGCGGACGCCGGCCGACTTGGCCTTGTTGTTGTCTGCGCACAGGAAAGGCCAGAAACGTAAGATACAAAATATGGGAAAAGGGCGCTGGATTAGAAAATTTCGTTCAAAATGTTTTTGTGCGACATTTTTCATTTCTGTTCCGAAATTTTTGCTCCGAAAAATCATTTGCTAAAACAATTCCTGTGACAAATAACCGCCTCAAACAAAGCCGGAAAATTTTTCTTTTTACTTTGGCGTGTTCTATGCATAGAACACCTAAGTACTTACAAGTGTGCGACATTCACACACTTGTGTTTCTGAGTGAGTCGGTATTTTCCTCACCTTGGGCGACGTAGTTTTTTAAGGCCTGCCGCTTGTGGATGCGCTTGCGCGCCGTCTGGAATATCTTCCAGTAGAGGCCCAGGATGACGAGCAGCGGCACGTAGAACGTGGAGCAGGTGGCAAAGATCTGGTAGCCGATGTCCTGCGAGGGCAGGCAGCGCTGCTGCACGTTGATGCGGTGCAGGTACTCGGGGTCCTTCCAGCCGAACTGCGGCGCGAGCGACACGACGAGCGCCACGCCCCACACCAGCACGATCATGATGCCGATGCGCTGCGAGTTGCGCGTGTGGATGTAGTCCACCTGCGTCACGGCCCAGTACCTGCGGCAGAAGAGCAAGAGACGGCGAACCGTTAGACAGAAAGAGAGAGAGAGAAGGAAAAGGGGGAGGGGAGAGAGGGAGGGAGAGGGAGAGAGAGGGAGCCCGCGCTCATAATTGGAGGGCGCTCTTACTCTTAACGCCGGCATATTATAGCCCTCTAGAAAAGCCCCCCCAGCCTGGCACGGTCGGCGCCGACAGAGCGAGCCGCCTCCCCCCAACTCATTCCTTCTCGCGAAGAGGTTGCCGGGGGGCAGCCCGCTGTCAACGCTAATGGGTGAATGAGGCCACTTTGGGCCGTTGGCCCCGCCGGGCCCAGACCCCTCCGCGCCAGCCACGCCGGCCGCAGGGGGGGCCACGGGGTGTGTCCTCCTGGGGGGGCTCTCCCTCGCTAGGTAAGTACTTACGGGCCAAGCGGCCAATGATTGGGGTGACCTTGGCCAAACGTGTGCGGCCTGAACCAGCCGCACTGCCTCAGCCCACCATGCTAGGGCTCCGCTCAAGCAGTAATTTTGTTTGCGCAAGTGTGTGTGTGTGTATGTGTGTGCGCCGAGCGAGAGACCGCCGAGGGCAGCACGGCCTGCCATATTACAGAGGACTCCTAGGCGATGCTGCTCAGACGGCGCGGCACAGCGTCCCGCCGCAGTGTTCTCTGCCCGCGGCGCCCACCGCGCGCACACGCGAGAGAAGGCGGAGAGGGAACAAGAGCAGTGCCCACAAAACTAGATTAGAGCTATTTTGTAATTCTCTAATTTTGTAGGTC